ATGCCGTTATGGCAGCACCCGAACACGCCTCATACAGTCGTCTCCTCCGATCAACCCCCGTGATATGTTCAGCAACGATGAGCAACCTACCTTCTCCTGCAGCTCTACAATGATCTGCTTGTACTTGTCCACACTCTGGTCACCCGCGATAGGACACCCCTCTGGTACAGCCGCCAAGCCACCACCAAAGCCCTACACAAAAAGGCAGGCTAAGCTCGAGGGAGAACCCATACGACCACACTGAGCTGCGCAAATGCCCGACGATCCGAGTACTCCCGCTCGGACATCTTGTGTGCTCAGATTGAGCGATGGGAAGCCCTCCTACACCTCTTAACTCACCAGCAGACCCGCCACCGCCTCGTCCATTTCAAGACTCAACCGACTACGGGCTTCTCTTGACTCCCTTCTGTTACTACTAACAGCTGGCTTCTCTGTACCAACAGCGGCCAGGGGAGACTTCCCTACGTTACCTGATCCTCTACCTCTCTACCCACTTCCTCTCAAGCTAGTACCTTTCTCTTTACCATTCACGCTCTCCGCCATCATCGTCTTCATCTCCCTTTCCTTCGCCTCCAACCGCTCCTTCAATGCCTCAATCTCCGCCTCTAGCCCGAACATCTGTGACGATTATCCCACTAACCCCAACAACTAGGAGAAGCACTCACCGCTATCTCCGCCTTGTTACGCTGAGTTTTCGTTGTCTCTAATTCCAAGGGCAACCTCTGATGAGCAAAGGCAACATAACTCGACGAACGAGTAGTAGACCAACCTCCAGCGAGTCGAGGGTTCTCTTCAGCTCGTTGATCTCGCCCTCCCTAGCCTGCTTCTCACTCTGTACCTCCTGCCACCTCGCATCAGCAGCCTCCTACATAGAAGCAGCTCTCCACACTCACAACCACCCTTCCCCCCCCCACCTGTTCCTCCTGAAGCTCTATCACTTTCGCCTTCACCTCCGCCAACTCCGCCTCGAGCGCCACCACGGCGGCCTGACTGGCGTTCCGCGCCTCTTCAGCAGCCTCCAGCTCGTCCCGTAGAGCCTCGGTACCCTCCGCCGCTGCCTCCTAGAACACCAGCCGCTCCTACCAATACACACAACGACCGACGCTCCTACCTTCGCCTCCTCCAGCTCTTCCCGAAGCTTCTTCATCCTATCCTCTCCATCCTCCAGCTCCGTCCTCAGAGCTTTGATAACATCCTGGCTCTCCGCCTGAAGCCTCTGTGCTTCCTCCAACTCCTGCTCTAGCTCAGCGACCCTCTCGTCATCACCAATCGTTGCCTGTAAGGACCTCACGCTGCTCATGCTCTCCCATATCCCCACCACATCGTCCGGCTTCTGCTGCAGTGCCCTCAGCCTTTCAGTCTTCTGCTTCAGCTCCTTCTTAAGCGACTTGATAGTGCACGTCGCTTCCTCCTCACTCGCTTGCTTCTCCTCCAACTTCTCCTCCAGGGCTTCAGTTCGATTCTACAACGACAGACAGAGGTCTAGAAGACTCCCAGGCTCCAACACAGAAACGATAGTATCACATGGAAGGCATACAAACGGTTCCTCACCAGTGCCTCATCCTTAGCCTCCAACTCGAGAACTAACTCCTGTTTAAGGGTCCTGATCTTCTCTCGAGCTTCAGCCTCCGACCGCTCGAATCCTTGCTTAGCTTTCTCGAACTCCTTCCGTAGTTGCTTCAGCTCCTACAGAACGTTCACTAAGCGAATAACCCCAGGCCCCCCGACAGAGGCGATCTCACCCGAGACTCTTTGCTGGATTTCCGCGCTGATTCCAACTGTTTACGCAACAGCTTGATCTCCTCTTGGCTCTCCAAGTCTCTGTCCAGGGCAATACTCAAGGCTCGACGGACTTCCTCGAGCTCCTGGAAGAACGCGTGCCAGTCGAGCGAACGGCCTCAAAGCCAAGGGACACCAGTAACAACCTCACCTCGAAGACAGCCGAGGTTGGTGCAGGATCGATACGAGACACGTCGGGGGCCTCATCGTGATCGATGGTCAGGTCGAAGACGCTATCACGCGCTTCACTAGGTCGGGCCTGAAGACCCCATTCCCCAACACCCCGACTGCTCCTCTATACCCACCAGGGGCCGCCCTTCATGCCCAAACACACTGTCAGTCGATAGACGGTTGCCGTCCCCCCTGTCTGCTCCTCCTCCTCCTCTCCTATCGACCTTACCCGATACCACCAACTCCGCCATCGCCGCCGATAACGAGTCATGCCTCTTCCTCTTTGGGTCACTGAGAAATCACACAATGCACCCAAACACTCGCTGTTGTCACCATCTCCCTAAGCCGTCCTCACAATCACCTCGGCTTAGCCTCCGGTGTTGACTCCTCGCCGTTACCAACCTTTCCCCGAGTCTTCTTAGGAACAGACCGCACATCTCGGGTCCGTTTCTGAGAGCGTGTGGACTGAACAGGAGGACCACTGAGCCTATCCAACCACGAGCTTCCTACCACATCAGTATCATCATCCCGACCACCACCACCGTCCTCCTCCTCCTCTATCTCGCCTACCCGACTGCGGAGCGGACTGAACAGACTACAATGAGCCCACCAGAGAGCAGCGTCAAAGCACGGGAGCACCTATCATCGACTATTCCCGACTCCAACAGGCCACCGATAGAAGATTCCTACAACACTATCAGTACCCCGCATAAGGCACAGGCCACTTCCTCACTTGCTCAGCCTCTACTGTCGATCCTGACGGCGACTCCACGGTCTTGTCGGGACTGAGGGAGACCGTCAAAGCGGTTAAGATCAATCCCACTACCCCTGACTGTCTTCAAGTATGCTACGGTCAACCGATAGATTCAGTACGCTGCTGCCATTTCGATTCACCCTCGGATCGCAGTCTGAGACAAAGCATATCAAGAGGACGCAGGTTCGATCCCTGCACCCTACCAGACCGCAGCAATAGGTTGAAAGACGCCGCTTGCTTGAAGCCACCACTACCCACCTCCTCTATACAAGCCTGATAAACACTACACCCCAGTACTGCTGCTCATCCCCTTCCTACATCTATCTTGTCGTTATTATGCCGTATATAGTAGCTCCTATACTCCTCCTCCATGCAACAGAACGATACCGTCCCCGGCTCAAACTCATTAGCAGACATGATCCACCAGGCGTTTCTATCGTCCTCGCCTATAACCTTGGCTTCAACCTTCACCCGTCCCTTGCGGGACTTCATCTTTCCTAGTAAAGTCTGACCACAACGTCGATACATTCGACGTGCCCACAGCAACAACACCTCAGCTTACCGCCCAAGAAAGAGCTACTGCATTTTCCGGGACTTCTCCCTCATCATGCCATTGACGCAGACTATCTAGAGGATTCATCGAGCAGGGGAATATACGGACCGCCCTGACAACAGACCCACTGAAGTGAAGGACAGTGCTGAA